ACAATGGATATTTTATTCACTTTCCAAAATGGTGAGGGATTTTTTTTTCTTTTTTCTTTTTTTGTCCTTTTTGTGACCGGTAAGGGGATCGCAACCCTTGGCTTGGTGTCGCCCGCACCGCGCTCAGCCAGTGAGCGCACCAGCCATCCCTATATAGGATCCTCCCTATATAGGATCCGAACCCGTGGCGGGAACACTGCTGTGCTCCCAGCGCCGCACTCTCCCGAGTGGGCCAAGGGCTCGGCCCGAGGGATTTTTCTAAAAATACAAGCTGTCTCACCAATAAACAAGGACTCCCACCCTGGGAATGGAATATGAGTTTACCCTTACCAAATTCACACATCATGTTTATTAGCTACCCACAAGTGAGTAACTTGCTAATCATTCACTTAATTTAACATGACCTAACAAGTCTTTGAAAATGCTGAAAAACATTTGCAACTGCTTTCTTGACTACTGCATAATCCTGAGATAAATTACTTTCCTTCTTTTTAAGTTCAGGTGTAATGGAACAAAAATTATCCAAAATTAAGAGGCTCCTGAATTCATGCGCTTAATTTTATTTTTATTTTATTTTATTTTTTTTTGGTGGCTGGCTGGTTAAGGGCTCTGAATCCTTGACCCTGATGTTATCAGCACTGCTCTCTCACAAGTGAGCAAAATGGCCAGCCCTGAATTCATAGGTTTAAAGTAGAAAATCCCCAACAACATGAATTGACTGCATTGGAATCATTGCGGAGTTTCTTGAAAATACACATTTCCAGATACCATCCCCAGAATTTCTGATTCAGTAGTTTGGAATCTTTGGTTTAGTCATTAAACTAGATGTGAACTTTCTCTTCTTCAAATATAAATATTCAGCAATCACCAATTATCTTATTAAAACATATCTTGAGAATGCTTACTGTTAACTGTAAATTTCTCACATATTACTGAGATTTTTAATTATGTGTCTCTCCAAATTCCAGCCTAACTTTCCATGTCAGTACAAATCTTTGATAATGCGTGGAATTCCTAAGAATTCTCTTTGAAGAGTGAATCACAGAAGTGGAGGAAGACTAGCCAAAACTTATCAAAATGGATAAGATAAATGAAAATCTATCTTAATTTGAAAAGGTCCCCAAAGGCTGGACAGTTAGCTCAGCTGGTTACAGTACAGTGTTATAATACCAAGGTCAAAGGTTTGTTTGGATCCCCATACCGTCCAGCCACGAAAAAGATCCTCAAGACCTGGCCTATGCAAATACCAATGAGGAGAGGCAGAATGATATAGTAGAAAATAAAATAAAAATAAAGAGAATTGAGTTCAGATACCAGTTTTTGTTTGATGGTAGAAAATCTGGGTGTCTCTGGGTATCAATATTCTGATCAATAAAATGAAAGGGGATTACAAAATGATTCCTTTCTGGTTGAAAAATCTGATTAAAAAGAATGCTCAAGCGTGAATTAAATTGTATTAACTTTGAATCACAATTAGAGACAATATCAGAAATAAAACTTGTAAGACATCATAGCAAACGGAGAGCAAAAAAATGAAACTGAACAAACAGTAAATTTCTCATACTCACTTGCTTATCTACATGCAGAAGGGAGGACTTAAATGACATGCTACAGGATGAATGAATACTTATATAGGGCCTGTCTACTATATGCTAGTGATTCTACATAAAAGATATAAGAAATGAGATCCAATCCCAATAATTATTCAATTATCCCAATTGGATAATTTTACAGTATAATGTAGGTGACAGATACATAATGCTTGCCTTCTGATAATTGCCAAATACATATTAAATACTTTACTCTCCTCCTCGGTAATTATGCACTTTCTCTTCCCATAAATGTTTGTCTTTGCTAAAATTTTAATTTCAGGTAGACATCCTCTCAAAGTTGAAAACTATCCCACATTATATCAAGACATATTTTATACTGAAAGGGCTTATGCTGACTACCTCCCAGGAAGGTGTTAATGGGCCAACAAGTACCATACATGTTTCTGATGAATATACTTTGTGCATAGAACTCTTATGAATTACGAGTCATTAATACATAGGAGATCGATCAGATCAATATATAGATTGGAAAAATAAAGTATTTTTTCTGATGAATATACTTTGTGCATAGAACTCTTATGAATTACAAGTCATTAATACATAGGAGATCGATCAGATCAATATATAGATTGGAAAAATAAAGTATTTTTTCAGGTAGAAACTGATTTCCAATTGTTAAGTTTATATTTAAACCAACTTTGCAAAAAAAAAGAAATAATTATTCTTCTTATCTGGCAAACCTCTGGCATGTGTAAAAGGCAATATAGCAAGTCATGCTGTTAAAGTAAGATCAACTGCTCCACTTTCAATGCCAGTTACTCATAAACATTGACAATAACTTACTCTTGTAAAAATCCTTGCTCTGGTCAATGAGCTTTCCAGAAGCATGAAAAGAAACCCTAGTCAAGATTCTCTCTTAAAAGGGTGCTGCTGGACTATAGGAAATTCCATGAGCAAAGAGACAGTATCTCTCTTGATGCCCTAGGTGTAGCACAGTGCCTGGTACATACAAAGATGTGAATAAATGAAAGAATGAACGACAAAAGAAAACTGTTCATCAGGGATCAAGGAATCTAAGCCACGAAAAATTATTTCACTCAGATAAATGAGATTTAGCCTAAACTTAACTGGCATCTTTAATTTTTATCATGCAAGACTAGTATTATAACTATCATTTTTAAAAAAGACACAACATGAACTGGAGCTCAATGCAGAGTAGACTCAAAAGCTGAATTCTGAACTTTTTAGAACACTTTGAAAATAAGAAAAATGATTTCGATCTATAAAATATGAAATCTGGTGATGAATATATCAGTCATTTGATCTATCCTTACTTTGCAGAAAGAAAGAAAATATGATTACTAGTGTAAACTGCACATATGATACCACTTATATCAAACTTTTATCTGTCCCTAGAATTATGTTTCTTTTAAACCAGAGAACAGCAAATACGCGAACACACTGCATTCTATTAATAAGTTAATTTATAAGAAACCAATGTAAAAACAACTTCTCACGTACCCACAACACCTCGCTAGCATATACATACACATTTACTTATTTCAAAATGACACTTTAGGCTCCACAATTGCTAAATTAACCCACAATCTATCATGACCAACTCCATACACAGTCTATTTACTTTTCAGCGTCGGGGGGGAAAATACGAGGAAGATTTCTCTCCCAAAATCTACGTGAAGAAAACAAGATTGCCAAGGCTTTGAAAACGGAAAAAATTAATGAAATCAAATTATTCACGCACAGGAAAGAAACATCATCCCTCCTGGCCACATTGTGGCCTAACACCTGAGCAATCTGTGGCTTGGGTTCATTTTTCTTTTATCCGCATCCCCATCTACAAAACCCCAGGAGTGAGGCAGCGTTGGCCCGAGACCCTGGACGCGTCCTCAGACCCCGAGGAGGATGACAGCTGGAGGCTTGCCTCTGGGACAAAATAAAAATCGCCCTGGGGGCGGGGGGTCCCCTGGTCTCGTCGCCCGGCCCGCAGTCCCGCCTCCTGCCCGCTTCCCCCGGCCGTGGTGCCCTACTCCTCGTGCCACCTCCACCTCCTCACCTCTCGGCCCGGGCTCACGCGCTTCCCATCCCTCCGTCCGCTCCTGGCACCGCGCGTCCCTCCCTTTCGGTTTTATTTTTACTTCCCACGTCGGGTGGGGAGCAGAAGGTAGGGCCGAGGATGCCAGCAGGTCGCTGCGCCGCCGAGCCCTCGTCGCACCCCTCGCCGGGCTTGCCGGGGCCTCTCCCAGTCACAGAGCTGCGCAGGCGTGGGCCGCCCGCTGTCCGGACAGACCCACAGACCCAGCGACGAGAGAGGG